GTGTAGGACAGTATTTGGGGCCACTTTCTGGAAGCCCAGCACTCCAGGTGGTTGGTCCATAAGACCAAAATCTGAAACACAGGCTTATGTGTCTCAATAGGCCGCCAAAACACACAAGCACACCTGGTGGCCTACCATCAAACCAACATTCTACGCCTCTGAGGGAGGTCACAATAAATAATTGACATGTCATTGTCCTATATGATGAGTATTAATTTAATTTACATACATAAAATATAAATAGAGGCTAAGTTTGTGTAAAAAAAGAGAATTAAATTATTTAAATTGATAAATTCATGAGATTATTTGTTTTAATAAAAATTTAAGAGCTTAGTAAAAAGTTTAAAATATGTTTAGTAACTAAGGTTTTACCTCTAAAAAATTACATTTATTACTCTAATTTCAGTTTTTGCAGAATTTTTTTTTTTTTCAGAAAGGGACAAATAAATAGGCAATTAAATTTCTAACTTATACTTTTTGGAAATGTACTTTTACTATTTACAACTTTCCTAATCCTTATTGAAACATTTTCTCATTATCTTCCAAGTAACTTCACCAGGGGAGCTCTTTCCTCCTGAATCATTAAGAGTATCATGCTTGATATAATTAATGAAAAAGTTAGATTGGGAAAAAGTTAAAGACTGTTGACATAATGCTTTGCTTCTTGGGCTTCCACATTGGATGGTGATGATATTTTCAGTACAAATAATTTTTTTTATTTTTTTCTTTGTGCTTTTAAAATATATGTTGAAAGTTGAAACGCAATGAAAACTTGTTTTTTTTTTTTGAAATATGAAACGCAATGAAAATTTATATGAATATTTTAGTTAAGCAGGGGATTCTTCTTTATTACCTTTCTTTTTAAAAAGGTTAAACTCTCATTTTGGTCCCTCAATTATCGTACGGACCTCCGATTTGGTCCCTCAACTCAATAAATCTCTGATTTGATCCTTACTGTTTACCATTTTGACCCCATCTTGATCCTTCCTTTAAAAAACCAGTGACGTGTCCTGTTTACTAACGGGACCACAATGACATGTCAACATAATGTGACACATTAGATGCATACCTGAAAAAAAAAGACAACACGATAAAAAAAATAATGACATGAAAAAAAATAATATATCAAAAAACTTAAAAACTTATTTCTTTTTCTTTTTTCTTCTCTTTTCCTTTCTTTTCCCCTTGCAACCCAGCGCCTACTGGGTTCCTTCGAACGGAGGCGTCCTGGTTCCACGCCTGGGTTCCAACCCAGGGCTTGGGTCTCAACCCAGGGCTTGGGTCTCGATGGAACCCAGGCACTGGGTTCATTCGAAACCCAGAGCCTGGGTTCGATCGAACCTAGGCTCTGGGTTTCGGAACCCAGGCATCCTGAGTTCCATCGAACCCAGGCGTCCTGGGTTCGATCGAACCCAGAGCCGGAACCCAAGTGTCCTGGGTTCCATCG